ATTGAATTCCATTTAATAATTAGAATTAATATAAATAACTGATAACAATGTAATGGCTGTGAGATGTGCAAGTCATTGATCACGTGTAATGAGGGTAAGGTTAAGACAATATTTTTAGGAGGTGATAAACTTTAATAAGGTTTTATTCAAAAACTTAATTTAAAATTTATTGTTTGGTAGATTCCAAACGTTACTGGCATGACTTACTGCCGTTACTTAGATTTAACCTGCTAAATGAGGAAGTAATGGCTGGCAGATGATCACCCTTAACTATTACTGACTGTCTCGATGCCCCACGTTGCCTAAAATGCCAGGGGTATGGACACGCGAAGGCAACATGTTCGGCAGAAGGAATAATCTGTAAGCGGTGTGCGGTTGAAGGCCACACTGTCAAGAAAAGATGAGGAAGATGGATCCAACGTGTGCCAACTGCTTACGGGAAAGAACCGCAAAGAATAAGGCTAGGCATCAAGAGGGTAGGCGTGAACGCCCAACACATATTCAGAGGTCACTGGAAGTGATGAAAAAAACTCATTAAGAATAAGCTCAACATGCTCCAGTTCACTAGCGGATCCAGGATTTAATTTTGGGGGGGCTTCAGCCCGGAAGCTTTTTTTTCATATATATAACGATAATTACGTTGGAAAAACAGAAAGATACTAACTACCCATATGAAATGGTGTTTAAGTGATTCTTGAAGCCCTACTAAATGTAATTAAACGAGCAATAATACTTTAAGACATAATTTTTTTATATTTTTTACCATAAAACATGGTTACATTTTACCATTTTGGGGGGGGCTTCAGCCCGAAAGCCCTCCCCCCCCGTAAATCCGCCTGTGCTCCAGTTCAACATAGACCGCCGTCGCGTCGTAACAGACGACCTGTTTTATATGCTCGATAAGTACGATGTCATGGCGGTCCAAGAGCCAAGTTGCCGTGAGAACATATTTTCAGGGTTTGGCCTCACGTCAAGCATAATCACTCTGAGCATTGGAGAGAGGAGGCCCAGACCAGCTATTGTTTTAAACAACCCAAACCTTGACGTGATGGATCTGAAACAACACACCACAGCGGATTGTGCTGCATGCTATGCTAGGTGTGGCACCGTTGCTTTTACAGTAATCTCGATCTACCCACATGATGGGAATAATTTCGAAGACGGCATATCCGCTATGGAAGCGATCACAGGAAATGTTAGGAATATGATCGTGTACTTGGATACCAACTCCTGGAACACGGTCTGGAGATCTAGATAGACAAATAGAAGAGGCGTCAAAATTGGTGAATTTATTCTGAGGAATCAGTTAGTGGTAATTAATGATTCCTTTGAGACACCAATGTTCTCAGGACCTATGGGCCAAAGTTGGATAGATGTAACACTGGTTCTAGCATTTGCCGTATTGCAGAATGCAGGGTGTTCCCACGGTATTACTAAGGGTTACAAAACCCGTATTAAAGACTGGATTACCTTCTGCTCTATGTTGGAGGGGAAGCTAATTGATGAAGAAGCTGAGACAGACTTGAAAGATGATCTGGGCTACAGGATGTCCAATATCACCGATGTCATTTGTGATGCCGCAGAGAATTTCCTTCATCGCAGGAAAATGAGAGCTCGACCAATCCCATGGTGAATGCCGACCTTGACTACCCCGAAACAGACCTCTACAAGGGCCGGCGGTCGTATTAGAGGTGTAATAACGACGAGAGGCGCACTGCACTTCAAAACGAGTACAAGGAAAAAGCCAGGATATACAGAAATGAAATGCGCAGCCAAAAACGGAAGTCCTGGGATGATTTCTTCGATAAAGAAACAGCCAAGAATCTCTGGGTATTCCATATAGAGTGACTATGGGAAAATGACTATTGCAGTTTTAAAACATGGAGATTCCCGAGCAAACACTCCTGAAGACGCTGCAAAAATGTTCATTGAGACGGCATACCCCAGGGATGACCCATCCCATGACAATGAATATGAAACTTTAATAAGGCGCGCTACGGTATATCCACCTGTAACAGACTTGTATTCATTATGGAACATCCATGATCTCCGGAAAAAGAATATAATTTGCTTTTTCATAACACAAATTTACTTGGCCTACTTTGCTTGAAGCACCTTTTAGTATTTGTAATTTATGATAAATTATTATAACTCACTTAATACAATAATTAATATTTTTTTCTTCATCACAACCGAAGGTAGAGAAGCATTGTGTTCGTGAGAGAAGTTAAACAATTGTTTATGCTCAAAACAAAAACTTCCACAGACATCAGGGATCAAAGTTGGTTCGGCGTCTGTCTGTAGTCTTTTTTTGGGGGGAGGGGGAGGTCCTTCCCTTCCTCGCCTTTAAGGCTATACGAGGTTTTCCAGAGCCAGGGTGCGTGGGCGGTGATTTAAAAGACCCCCGGGGCACCGGGACGCGAACTCGTGATTATTTTAAATCCATTGTCTCATATATCAGGTTCCTGGCCAACGGCGGTGCTGTGCACACACATTAGGCCGTTCGGCCACCCCGTCCACTTCTGTCTGTAGTCAAATAGATAACGGGCATATCATCCGTTTATTCGATTTTCATGAAATTTTCAGGGATTGTGCGGGTCGGTGTCTAGATGGTCCCATATCAATTTCATCAAATTCCATCCAGCGCTTCCGCTTACGAACGCGCCATCGTATTTCTTTTTAGATATACCATTATTTCAGAAACGGCTCGTCGAGAAACGGATATTATGCTGGCCTCTTCCCCAGAAATCGAAAATAATAGTTTTCTGCAATGGAGGTAGACTATCTAAATTTGAAAGGTGAAGCTTTGGAGAAAACTCAGCAGAGGTTGTGAAGAAGTATAAATACCTGGACGTAATAATTACATCAAAATAGTTCTTGGAGAATCATTCTGATGAAAGAGTAAGCCATGCAAATTAAAGCCTGATTTCTAGTTGGCATAAATTCATAGCTAGCAAAAATGTCTCCTGTTCAAGTAAAGTAGACTTTATAAGTCATTTTATGAGTAGTGATTAGTTATGCTGGACAGATTTGGGGTTTTCACTGGTAAATAAAATCAAAGAAGCAGGTAAAATATATTTTAAAAAATTAAGAATCACTGTAATGGCTTAACCCTTTGACTGCGAGAACTCATTCGCGAGTTTCTACCACACGTTGTATCCTGAAATCCACAAAGACGTCCAAAAAACGGATTTTTTTTTTTTTAATTAGTTTAAAATGCTATTTCGAGTCACTCTGTAAAATCTTATCTATCAAAAACGCATTTACCGTTTTTATTCAACTTTTAAATTTAAAAAAGCATTCCCAGCCGCACATAGCAATGTAAAATTAGAGCGGCAATCCCCCAACACTTCGCTTTCTTCAGTATTTGCTCATTTCTGAAAAAAGCAAAATTACTGATAATGATCATAAAAATAACTATAAGTGATAATAAAAATTAAATGATATTATTTCTAGTAAAAGGACACCGACGGGGGGATTAGAATCATATATTTTGTTGTATTTACAAATTTTTTCTTGCCTAAAAAGGTTTCATAATAAAAATAGCACAGTTATAAATTTTGTTATTGCACTTACATTTATTTTGAGTTTCAAAAACTTTTATATTATATGAAATATATATATATATATATATATATATATATTGTTTTTAGGTCGATGGAAAAATTATAAAACAACTGTAGCAGCATTTTAATTCTGTATATTTTTACATTTATTATTTTTATAATTACATTTTAATTTAATTATATACATATATAATGAAGGAAACTTAGATTTATTTGTTTAGCAGACAGAGATTCAAGTGTCAGCATTCAGTCTAAACCAAAATAGAAAAAAAAATTAACTTATTTACATTTATTTTATGTATTAATCATTTACATAGGATATAAATAAGATCATGGATATTACACAAATAATATAGAAAGGACATACCTTGGGTTCAGAATAAATCTGCTACTGTTAGCTTCCAAATGGTTAGAATCCGGAACGACTGCTCTGAGTAAGCTACAGAGGACTAATGAATGCACCGACCAAACCACAATTCAAAAGGTAAGGCGGGACTTGCTCCTATCCGTTTAAGGAGGAACCCCAGGTGGTAATGCATATATACCGGCCGCACCAATGACCCAATTCAGTACCGGGAAGACATATATTCCTCAGCACCAGTGATCCAACTCTTAATAGGAAGGATAGGATCCTGTCCGCAGTTATAGGGTTAAATTTAAAATGATTGACACAAAATTATTGGCCAAAATTTGCAAACATTTTTGAAGATAGAAGCAATAAGTGAAAGCAACATACTGGATAAAGGGGCCAGAGGCAGTAAATCCATTTCTAGCAGCTCTAAAGTGAATAGAAACATAATGAGAGGAGTTCAATTATGCTTTTGTAGATACATAACTTTGGGAATAACAAAAAAAAAAAGACTTAAAGGATTGTTAAGTCAAAAATCATTCCTTGTAATAATGTTCCTTTTATTTACATCAAGCCAATGTAAACACATTGTGGCATAACAATAATTACATAAAATATAAATAATAATTATCACTTAAACAACTTTTGATAATTTTGATTTGTTTTTCTAGACCTAAAGTAAGAAATCAATGAAATAAAAAGTAATGGTAAGTAAGTAGTATACTTAGTATTTCTTATTATTGCACAAATTATTATAAGTAGATCACAGAATCGCTGTATAAATTCTAAAATACACAATACATATAGAAAGTGACTATAATAAAATTTAATTCAATAAAATTTTCATTAAAAACTTTAATAATTTAAAAACACGAACACCTAAGTAAATCTTTAAGCATCACTTTATAAGAACTATAAATAAATAAATAGTAAAACTGAAAATAAATAAATATATTTAAAACATGTAATAAAATGTAACAATAAACCACAATACAAATTTAACTCTCAGAAGATAAATATAATACAAAACAACTATACAAGTTTAACAATTCATAAAATAATATATTATTAATAATAATTACATTTATTATTTTGATATGGAATATACATATATGGTCAACCTCACAGATGATAAAGTGTAAATTTATAGTATCAAGTAAACAAATATTTCAGAGTTGACTAAATCATATAATTCCTTACTTAATTTTTTCCAGTTCTTTGTATATTGGATTATCTTTATACGTAAGTATGTATTTACTTGTATATGTATACATTTGAAACATTAGAGCAGACCTAAATTGGACATTCTTCAACTCATTGTTAAATTTTTACATCTGTGAAGTTAACCATTAATATACAAATTTGTTTGGCACATATGAGGAGTTCTGTGCCACGGACCAACTTATCAGTGTGGACTTGTCCTCACAGGAAATTGGACAATTATTTTCTGAATCTTCAGCTTGCCCTGCCATCATTGTTGTACACATGTGACTTTCCATTACCATGTTTTGGAATCATAATATAATCTGTCTTACGAAGCATACGTTTTTAAGAGTAAAAATGTAAACTACATTTAAGGAAAAATTAAATTGCATTTAAGAAAAATCTGAGAAGGTGTTAGTATATTAAACATGGCCACTTAAACAAATAAATTTATCATGAAAAGAAAATCATTCCGATTTAATAAAACAGTTGATTTTAAACTAAATTAAATGTAAAAATAAAGCCAGGAAACAAATATAAACAATTCTAGGTAGGAATTTAACAACAATACAAATCACACAATTTGGAACCCTTTAGACACCATAATCTCTATATCATCTCCGAAAATGTAGAAAACTTTTGTTTTAGGCTAAATTTTATTATGTTAGCATTGATTTTCAAGCTCACTAATGTGAATGTGACCACGGTCAAATAAGCTGCACTTAGAGAGCCTCTACAATCCCAGAATATTTTTTCTCAAAACTCTTTGACTAAAGAAAGTCAACTAAGCTCTAACATTTCTAAAATTTCATCGAAAATTATAGTTAGCAGTTAGGCCACCAGTGTTCCAGAACATAGCCTGGATGTACAGATGTACGACCTGTACCTCTCAATTTGCCCCGCTCTGTCAGATGTCTGCAGTAATTCTAATGGGATCGGCACAAATTCAAACAAAGGAATCATCACAGAATTTTATTGAGCTGCCAGGAGCCGAATGGTCTAATAGCCAATGGCAGATGCGTTTAATTAAAAAAAAAAAAAAATCCAAAATTATTCAGTCATACAGAATATTATTTTGAAAAAAGAAAAACATTTTTGTAATCTACATTAACACAAAAACAAACAAAAAACGAATAAGCTAGTGAAATATCAGAAGCTTTTAGACCAATTATTATACCACTACTACCAACCTCAATAGTTGAGGCATAGGTTCAAAATGCAAGGTTTAAATAGAAAATGGTACTTATAAATTTATATCTCTCATGATAAAAAAATATTTTCAGAATATATAATTTCAAAATTCAAACCAGTATTCTAATTAATATTTTTATATTTAACATACAGACAGCTATCTCCTGATTGAATGATTAATAGTATTGAAATGTTAAACAACTTATAATCGAACAAATATAAATATGTAAACAAATGAAATGCATCATTTTTAACTTATCACTTCCCAGATTCATACTCTGGTTTTTAGATTTTAAGATTTTTCAATTCACGGTAAAAATGCTGTTATTGTGGCATAAAGTAATGATGCTTAGCTTTTACATGACTTTTCAAGTGATCTAATCGTGAAGCGCCATAAGTACATTCAGGGCACTGATATGGCTTTAAATAGGAATGTTTAGCATTAATGTGATTTGTAACATGATGAGACTGAGTGGCCTTATAGCCACAATGAGGGCAGTCATAAGGTTTTGTTTTTGTGTGTTTCGCACTAATATGTTTGATTAAACTGCTTTTGAGGCCAGTTCTGTAAGGGCATGCATGGCATTCAAAGGGTCTTTCGTCTGTATGTTTTACTTTTAAATGGCGTTTTAGATGGTTTGGATATACAGAAACAAATTCACAATGAGGACAGGGGTAAGCTGCCTCAGAATGCTTGGCTAAAATATGAATTTTTAATGGCCCATTATTGCTTGACCGATAATCACAGTATGGGCATTTATGAGGCTTTTCACTAATATGTTTAGCTTTTACATGCCGCTTAAGGTGATTTGTATAAGCAGAAGTAAATTCACAATGAGGACACTGATAAGGTTTTTCAACGGTATGTTTTCCCAAAATATGTGATTTTAGGTTGCCAGTTCTTGTTGCCTTATATTCACAAAATGGACACTGATAACGTCTTTCATTACTCTGCTTCACTTTCAGCTCTACCTGAGGATATACAGGTATATAGCCATAACATTTTTGTTGATGCTTCCATTTTTTCTTAAACTTTTGAATGACCCTTGAAGATATCCCTAAATGCATACCATGAATTAAAATAATATGGTATTTCATAGTCTTTTTACATTTTACAGTTCGTCCACAGTGGAAACATCCTACTAAGTCTTGAAATTCATCTGTAAGACAAAATTACGTAATAAATTAATAATGAAAACATTAAGAAGTTATAGAAAACATGAAGAAATTTTAGAATATACAGGCAATGAATGATTCATTCATCCAGCACATTTTGAACTACCCACCAATTTTTAACCATTGTAATGTTGTACCAATTATCATGTTTACTGAGAACTAATCAAACAATTCTCTCACGTAGGTTTCTAGTTTTTTTGTATTCTGTCCTGTATTCTGTCCTGACAGATGTTTTTGTTAGAACAAATTTTAAAAAAATTAGAAAGAAAAAAAAAATTAGAAAGAAAATAATAAATTTGTTATTACTAATTTGAATTATGAAAATTTCCTTTAAGACTTGTTTTTTTGTTCTTTGAAAATTCACTCTAAGATATCTATGTTGAATTTCATAAAATTACAGATTTTTGTTTCTAAAGTTTAAAAAAAAAATTTCTCAGAACTAGTACTTTTGTAATGTAGAAATTTAGTGGGTTTTTTTTTTTTTTTTTTTTTTTTTTTTTTTTTTTGGTCCTCCTCTTCCTCGCCTTTAAGGCTATATGGGGTTTTTCTGAGGGAGAGGGTGTGGGCGGGGATTATAACAATATTTCCACTAAAGTTTGAAGTTTTCACAAATACTTTTTATTTTGTTATCTAATTTTGTATATATTTTTTAAACCAGGTTTATCAAATAAATAAAAAATAATGCACTTTATTGACATAAAGAAATAAAGAGAAAAATTAAACTCTATTTTAGAAAATGTTTAGGCGTTTTAACTAGCTGCTTTATAGTAGTTAGCTTTCTTTACAGAACATTTTATCTTTCTCTCCTCCTTTTTTTTATTTAATTGTTTTCTGTTCTTCTTGATTGTCATAGAATTTTTACCATCTAGCAGAGGCGTATCTTTCTCGGTCACACTGCCACGAAATGCTGTTACAGGTTCAGAAGTGTGCTGTGAAATCAGAGGATATACACGGCTGGGTCAGATCCCCCTACCGTGCATCCCCCCACATCCCTATAAATTGCATGTCGTTGTGTTCCTAGTAACTAATTATTTTTAAAAAATCCAATGTTCCCACAAAAAAAATGAACGCACTGTCCCAAAATGTAATCCAAACATGGCGGATTGACTAGTTAGTTATTTGGTCAATGAGATTCAGCAGTTGGCTTAATTTCCTCATTATTGCCCTTTTATTAAAGCTAGACAGTCAGAGAATAATAAAACATAAAAAAATAATTGGCCTTGACAATAAAAAATATCAGTAAAGTCAATTTTTTCAACCAAACAAATTTCAAGCATCGTTTGTAATTTAACGGGCAACAATAACGAAAAACGCCCTGAAATAAAACATCTAGAGAATACATTTCTTTTTCTAAATCACTGATTAATTTTTAAAATATCTGAAACAGTTCTTTAGAAAATGCAGTTAATCGACGGAAAAGCGGCACTGGCATAGGTCCTCTGCCTCTCATTCAGTACTCACTAATGGCAGATTTATAGTGCTATCATAACATAATTATAATACAATAATTTAATTGTCAAAAAAAATTATACAATTTTTAGTTTTTATTATTTTTTTTTTTTTACTTCTTATGTTCTTATATTCTAAGACATTTAAGATGGCTTCTATTGTAAAAATCTGGTGATCGCAACACACAACTTTCACTTTCCGCTTTAGTTTGAATAGACATTATTTTCTGGCAATGTTGGTCTATTATAAAATTTTTGAAGTGCATTTTAAATGGGGCTAAAGCTAAAAGCTTACAGATAACAGATCATTAAAATTACTAAAGTCTATTTATTACATCGGTGTTAGGCAATAAAAATCTAGTTACTGCATCTGCTTTTATAAACCAAACAACTTCAGCCTATGAGCCTTTCAGATGACATAATGACTAATTTCAATTTCAACATTTTTGAGTAATGTCATTTTAGTGATATTTTTAGTTGGAAAAGTTTTATATATACAGACAGTAAGTAAGTTGATTCCGGAGGTGTTGATTGCAGTGTTGAAATATTGAACTGTGAATAAAGATATAAATTTTGCCACTTGAAACAGCACTAAAATTAATAATATTGTTGAAATTGGAGTTAGTCATTCTATCAACCGAAAGGCTCATATCTGCCTAGAGAAATTTTAAAGTATAAATTAACCTATAAATTATTATCGATTGTAGGACTACTAGTAATCAAACTGATATTTTCCATTGTAAAGTTTACAAAAAGGGTGGTGGTTGGGATAACAATGGGGCATAATAATCAACAAAAATTCTTCTGTTTCAAGTCTACCTGGTTCTTATTGTTGGCAACATAATTGAAGGGTGTTCATAACCGGTAAAGTGTCCATAACCAGTCATTTACTTAAATGATTTTTTTTTACATCATGAGAACAAAAACAGAAATTATCATTTTTTTTTTTTAATCTTGAAAACAAAAATAAAATAAAATGGTAAATGTTTGATAATTGGAAACTTCTTTGATCTTCCCTTTATATGGCTGCCAGGGAGTAAAAAAACAAAGTTAGTGGTCCTCCAGACTTCCAAATAGCTTGGTCCCAAGATCCATAGGGTGTGGCCATTTCTGCCTCTTCTGTATACACACCAAATGCTGGCAATTCAACAGATCATGCTCTGTGGTTTGTTAATTTTGGCCACATTCACATAGGGGACTAGGTGCAATTGGAAACTTCATAATAGTTATTAATAAAGTTTTTTTAAAAAAATATGGTAAATCACATTTTCATTAATAAAAATATTAGTACACTTACAAGAGGTGGACGGCTGATTGAAAAACTCTTCACCGAATCCATCTCTTAGAGGACTGGTTTTCTCCCCAAAAATATCAGTGACTACAATTAGTAAACAAAAACATTTAATGAGCAACAAACGAAAAGATGAATGTATAAAAAGCATTATTTTTATTAGGATGACAAAACACTTAATTTACTCAATAAGTTAGCTTATATATATATATATATATATATATATATATATATATATATATATATATATATATATATATTTTTTTTTTTTTTATTATTTTATTTTTTTTTAATTTGTGCTACAGACCATGAAGATCTTTGGCGCGAGATGTGGTATATTGCTTGCTGCAGCACAGATGGCCTGCAGGGAACCACCCAACCTCATGATGCTACAAACCATGGTCTCCATGGAGCAGCGGCAGGCCACCCGTAGCTCCATAGCCGATCCCTTTGGGACCAATCTAGCAGTGTCCTTCCTACCTACTCACTCGGGTTCAAGGACATTTATTAACTTTGATTACCTACTGCAAGGGCATTAGCCCCGACCCCCACACACACATATATATACATTACTCATAAAGCACTCTATTCATAATTTGGTAGGAGATATACATAGCATCAAGAACCCATATAATTTAAATATGAAAAGCAGCGCACAATCTACCACCACTGTAAGGATGTACCTAGGTATAAAGTCAAATAGAAAATAGGATAAACAAAGTAAAGTCATAAAGTATTTTTATTAAGTTTTTATTTTTTTAATGAAACAATAAAATAAACTACAGAATTAAATGCCAATCAATTTTGGAAAAATGTCAGCACCCAGGAAGGTTTTAATAACTGGGAAAATTACAAAACAAAATATTTATTTATTTAAAACTTTGGGTACAGATTGGAGCAAACTAAAGCTATACAAACATAATTAAAATGATAATGACAATACAGAGGATAAAGGCAACATTTGAATTATATATTTCTTTGTATTTACAAACTTTTTTCTTACCTAAAAAAATTCCATATTGAAAATAGCACAGTTATAAATCTCATTGTTGCGTTTATTTTGAGTTTTAAACACTTTTATATTATAATATATTATATATATATATATATATATATATATATATATATATATATATATATATATATATATATATATATATATATATATATATATATATATGTGTGTGTGTGTATATATGAAATATATATATATATTGTTTATATATGGATGGAAAAATGATAAAACAACTAAAGTACCATTTTAATTCTGTATATTTTTACATTTATTAATTTTTAATATTACATTTTAATTTTTTGTATAGTTTTATTACATTATATATATATATATATATAATGTAGGAAACTTACATTTATTTGTTTAGTGGACAGGGATTCAGTCAAAAGCAAAATTAAAAAAAAAGACTTTATAAAATTAACACGTTGACATTTATTTGATGTATAAAACATTTAAATAGAATATAAATGAGATCATGGATATGATACAAATAACAGAGAAAGGACATACCTTGGGTTTAGAATAAATCTGCAGCTGATAGCTTCCAAATGATCAGAATCATCGGTAGAACCACACTGAGTCAGCTGCAGAAAACTAATGAATGCACTGACCAAACCACAAGCCAAATGGTGAAGGTGGGACTTGCTCCTACCTGTTTAAGTGGTGACCGCCCAAGCGGGAAGGCATATATCCCGTCCGCACCAGTGACCCAACTCTTAACGCTTAACGGGAAGGCATGTATCCCGTCTGGCATGTATTTGTTAATAAACAATTTTAATAAATTGTCAGTGAGAAATTCGTTAATAAGAAGGTGGAATACAAGAAGTGGGGATACGCAAGTTTTTCAAAAATGCATGAACGGGGAGTGAGTGGTGGGGACAAAATCTGACTTCTTATCATACACCAACATTTAACTGTTTTTGGCTTTCCATGAAAAAGTATGACCGACATGATTGTGAAGCATGCCTATTCCGAACAGAATCCTCTTGACTTAGTACGATTTGGATATTATGATAACTAAGATAACATATGATAGTAAATATAAATTTGGAACACTATAATTACTTATAAATTTAATTTACCACGACCATATGCAGTTCCTTTTTCATTTGGTTCTTCTTTGATCCACACTTTACAGGCTGCTGAAACAAAAAAACAATGAAATAGGAAAACAATTAATATATTACTACAAGCAATCATTCAGTTCAATCAAGAATTATTTATAACAGTTTTAAACTATATTAAATGTATGAATAATAAAATATTTTGTGATTTAAACAAATATGATGTAATGACAGAATTCGAAACATTATTTCCCTTTCCTATTGACAAATCTGTATAAGTTCATTACCGATTTGCTTGGGGTTTTCTAGAACAAGATTTATCAAAAAATAAAAATACTATAATCAAAACAGCTTTATATTAAAACTATCCTAGCATTTATCTAATTTATAATAGAATATTAGCTATTGTATGTTTTGGTAACAATTCTTATACTTCACATATTTGTTATAAACATTCTCTTCAATAAACTTTTCATTTTATAATATTAACAAAGAATGAACATATTTACCTTCAATGGACATTTCTCTTTCAATTCATTAAAATAATAAACTGATTCACATCACTTAGAAGAATTAATTTGTTTCCCATTACTACAACAACCTAATGTATAGGCACACTGGCTCCTGCTTTTTAACATCATAAGTATTGCTTGAAAAATCAAAGAAAATTTATTTAAAATGTTTATTTACAATTTTAAATACTTAAGGCCAGGTTTTATCAATACAACAGCGAGCTACGACGAAGGTTACTTGTTGGAAACCTTTTATATTCCAACTATGATAGAAAACTAGGGCTGTTGAATGTTAAATGCTTTGGGACTTTTATATGTTGATTTTATTTCTGCCAGAAGTTCCTCGGGAATACCCTTTCTTCAAAGTGCTCTGCACGTTTCCCCATTATGATCCAACTTTTTCAGTTTTTCTTCTAGGCATGCTTCATATTCTTGTCTTTTCTAATCCGAGTCAAGGGCTCTCATCTCTATCTTCTCATTTACCTTAAATGTCATGTTTCTAGGCTTTATCGTCTGTGTATCTACGACCAAAAGCAAATGATCCGTGTCTATTTCAGCACCTCTAATCACTCAAATATCTGTGAACCAGCGTCTGATATCATCTTCAAATATAAAGTGATCGATAACATTGTTTCTTTTCTGCGTTGAAAATGTTATTTTATGAACTCTCTTTTGGGGGAAGAAGCAATTACCTATAAGTAGGTGTGCCCACCCTCCCCTCCACCAATGTCGATGGCGCATGAACCATCCCCCTCCCTCTCCAAAAATTTTATTCCTCTCCTCATCTTAAAAAACAGTCCAAGCGAAAGTAGGATTAGAAAAATCGTGGATCATATACAATTACACTTGCTGTAATCTGCCCCATGTGTTCCTACTAGTTCTCTGTTTTGAAACTTTTCACTCCGATTCTTAGTCCCATCGAAATGTAACCCCCTCAAAATTTCAAAACCCAGCCAAAAAGTTTTTATGCCGCAACTTGCGCCATGAAACCTCTTTCTGGGGATCCCTGCCAATAAGTATGTAATTATCAACGCAAAAATCTATCAGTCTTTGACCATTTTCATTCTTTGCCTTTTCAACTCCATGCTTTCCCTAAAATTCCTTCCGGTCCTTGCATTGAAGTCTCTACAACAGGTAACATTCTTATTCACCCATTTAAACTTGTTCATTATACTTTCTAGGTCCGAGTGAAATTGTTCCTTTTCTACCACAGAGGAATCTTGATTTGGTGCTTAAATTTGTACTATAGCGATTTTATTCGGAGATAGCTGGAAACTGAATGTTATTATCCTAGGCGAGACGGCCTCCCATTCTTTCATTTTCTTGTGTAATTCATCCTTAATAACAAAGCCGGCTACTTGTTTAGCATGTTCCCCTTTAGGGACCACTGAATAAATGAGAGTGTAAGCTTTAGCCAAGCGGATTTCTCCAATTCCTTTCCTTTTTACTTCAGATACACCAAAAACGGCTATCCTATACTTTATTATCTCCTCCACGAGATCAACCTAACTTCCTTACCTACGATTGTTTTTATATTCCAAGTACCAAATCTCAAATCCTTTTCGCTGACATGTTTTTTTCCGAATTGTCAGTCTAGTTCCGAGGCTTATTTGACTTCTATGAATCCTAAATATTTCCATATGGGTAATTGGCGCAGCAGGAATGTCCTTAGGTCGTAGGACAGCAGACCTACTGGTGAAATCACCTTGGTCGGCAGAACGACTATATTATCTTCTAGGAAAAATAACCCCATTAGTGTCCTTAATATCAACTATAAAATAATCTTATGAAATATTGCTAGATGGCTAGCAGTTCTGGCATAATCCCAATTACGCCAGGTCTGGTTTCACAATCATATCTCAAATTTATTTTATGCGCCCGTGATATATGCTTCAGCGGTGTTTGCAGCTGTAAACAAGAGAATTGAAATGTTTTCTAGTCTGCAAGCACTGCACTGGACAGCCATGTAATAATATTTCGAAATACTGCGACAGAGATGAAGATGAAGACGGCGGTTAGGTCAATGGAATATCGTGTCACATCTCCACGAGAAACATTCACTACAAGGTTATCACAACGTTGGCCGTCTGCCAGGATATGAGTTTTATATTATGTTTATTAGAGCCACTGACCCTCCTGGTTGAAGGAATAGTCCACTGACACACACATACAGTACACTAACAACAGCACACTACACTCACCCTAACACTACAGACTAAGGTCACTTACAGTACACACTCTAGGATCACCTTCTCTAGGTAGCCGCTCCGGATGGGAGTGCAAATCAGGAGGCACTGAGGAGATAGCCCCTTCATCTGACTCGGGAACAGTGGGCTGGTAACCCATTCTCCTTAAAATTCTCTTATGACGATTATGTCACAGATGAAAATCCGGACTGATAAACTTGGCAACGGACATTGGCGAGGAAAAGGATTCTAGATTGGATTGTGGAATGTTAGAAGTTTGTTCACCGTAGGAGCGAGCCCACACCTTGAGATGGCTCTAAATAAGTACGGAATTAACATTTTGTCTTTTCAAGAAATAGGATGGAGATAATCAGACTTCATTATGCTTAAGGATTATCCTTATTAACAGCCTTCCAAGATACGATAAATACCAAACTGGTCTTAAGAGATTCAATTGCGAAGGTGGGATTCCTGGAAGAATTCAAACCAACAGTAAAATCTAAATCAAAATTTATTTTATTTGCATATATATACCACACAATAACTCATAATAATGGTTACATGCTTATGACAACATTACGCATATTACAAAAATGTGGTGTGATTGCTATTTATTATGCTGAAATATATTTTGTACTGTATGAAAACTAAAAAAAAACAAAAACCTACATAAATTATAAAAATGAATAAACATCATATAAACTATGTACTGGCATTAAAATGTATAAATAACATAAAACTATAAATAACACAGTCACATGTTTTATATCTTATAAATTATTATTCAATAATTGGTGTGGGAAGTATGTTGCTGCTTATTTATCAATATTTTTAATGTTATGAAGTTGGGTTTTGTCATGTTAGGAGTATGTGTTTTGTCCGTTTGTGTGTGTACCGTTTCAGTGATTTCTTGTCATAGTTTCCTATTGTTTGGATCTCGGGATTATCAAATGTTGTTGTAAGCTCAAAGAATCTCTGTGTTTGGAGATAAATGTGTTGTTTCATTGTTGGAAGCTGCAATTCTGCTAACATGGTGGCTATTTTTGTATATCATGGGTATCACTTCTAGAAACCAACAGTATGTAGACACAGTAGGCACCAAGAATTCAACGAGAACGGTCAAAGACTTGTTGATTTCACAATTGAACTACTGAACAAGGAAGAAGAACTTAACAAGGACATAACACCGCAGAAGCTCGACCTGGATCGGACACTAGAAAATGAAGATGAAAACGATGTGGAAACACCACCTAAGAAGGAGGAGGCTTAAGAAGTACTCCACAGCATTAAGAATTACAAAGCTCCGGGAGTCGACTGTGTACCGGTGAAACTGCAGAAGTATGGTTGAAGGACGAACTATACGAAATATTTTTCTTATGTGTGGGTCACTAGCGGATCCAGGATTTAATTTTGGGGGAGGGCTTCAGCCCGAAACCTTTTTTTTCATAAAAATAACGATAATTACTTTGGAAAAAAAGAAAGAAACTAACTACCTATATGAAATGGTGTTTAAGTTATTCCTTAAGTACTTTTAAATGTAATTACACGAACAATAATACTTTAAGAGGTATTTTTTAAATTTTTTTTCCCATAAAACATGGTTATATTTTTCGATTTTGGGGGGGGGGGGCTTCAGCCCGAAAGCCCCCTCCCCGTAGATCCGCCCGTGGTGTGGGTGAATGAAAAGATGGTGATAAACGGGACTTAAGCTCTTTTAGGCGCCATTGATAAAATGGGAGACAGAATGGAGTGTGAGAACCATAGAGTCAAAGTCCTACTTGACATTATCCGTCTTTGATTTGTCGGAGGCTGAAGACGTACATGGAGAAGATTGTTGGTGACTACCAAAACTTCATACAAGAAAGGTCAACAACTGACTGCATATTGACCTTGAGACAGCTGTTAGAAAAGACAAATGAACCTGTTATTACTCTCCATAATCTTTTTATAAATTTCCAGCAAGCCTTTGACCGTGTTGATAGGGTAAAGCTTCTGCACGATTTACGAAGTTTCCAAGAAGCTAGTGCGCCTGGTTCGGATGACGATGACCGGTCCTAAATGTCGGATCAAATCACAAGGCTCACTGGAACAGCAGTTTTCAGCCAATAATGGTCTTAGACAAGGAGATCCTCTGTCCGCAACTCTCTTTAATTTTTCTATGGAGGGAGCAGTACGAGACATGTCCAACTGATAGCCAAAACGCTGACAGTGCTTGCCGGAGAGTTGGAAAAGTTAGAGCGAGAGGCAAATAGAAGCGGTCTCAAGATCAATGGGAAGAAGACGGAATACATGAAGAACACCCAGAAACCCTCACAGATGCCACTTCGTATAATTAATACTAATGGTCACAACTTCTCAGTTGTAGAGCTTTTAAATATCTTAGAGCACCATTCACCGAAAAGAATGAATTACGCAAAGAGATAGAGGCCAGAACAGCATAAGGAAATCGTTGCTTTTTTTTTTGGAGTACCTAAAGTTTGAAGTTCAAATATCTTTCTTGGTGTTCCAAGGTCATCGTTTACATGACAATTATTCGTAACCTATGGCAGTGAGACATGGGTCCTGACAAAGGAGATGGAGATACGACTATTCACCTAGGAAAGAAATATATTAAGAAAATATTTGGACCAGTATACTCTAATGGAGAATGGGAAATTATAAAAAACGAAGGTTTAACAGCATTGTATGATCAGCCAGACATAATAAGTATAATAAAAATCTGGTGCGCGCCTCACACGACTTTCACTTACCACTCTCTTCTTAGTAAAAATAAGTGTGTTCAGACAAATGGGAAGTGAAAGTAAACATTATTTATTTACAATTCATTGTGGGTGTTTTTATTTGATTGAATACCCTTATATATTTTTTAATTTTTATATCGCTGTATTCTATACAATTAAATATTAAATAATACTAACGATAGCATTTATGAAAACCGCATATGTATATGAATATAATATTACCTGAAGCTCATGTTACGTATGAAAGTCTGTTGTAATCTTTCTGGTAAGCTCGTATTCCTGTGATTCCTATATAACAACTATTATCCGTTACGATCTCTTATTTCATCTTTAGTTTAATTATCAAATTCTTTCATATTTTATATTTAACTATTCCTTATATCACAGATTAATTTGAAACGGTTAATCATTTCAAATAAAAAAAAAATAAAGATACTTTAGAAGAAGCCAATATTGAAAATTAGCCATTTAAGCCTTAATAGAGAACATCAACGAAAATAAAACCTACATTATATTTAAAACTGCTCAATTTTACACTGGCATGATGAATTTAATAAAAATCGTTAAAGCCGTTTTAGAGAAAATCGTAAAAATGTGTTTAATCCATTAGGTGATCAGTCAAATAAGAAGGCAAAAATAAATGATAATATTTATTTTGTCATTTGCCTGGGTTGGGTTTATTGACAAAATAAATATTATCATTTATTATTGCCTTCTTATTTGACTGATCACCCCAACTATTCTTCTCCTCATTAAGAATGTTAAATGTTTACATTTAGTTAAGAAATTTCATTTCATTTTCTTAGAAAAATGTGGTTTCTATTTAATAATATTGGTTTTCAGAAATTATTATTTATGTTTTTTTCGTTACTCTCCGTTTCCTTCTACAACTTTATTCATTTAATATATTTTTTTTTAATTCTTCGCTTTTCGACGATATATTATACGTGTGGATCCTTGCAGAAATCCAAAAAGTACAAATAAGTAGAAAAAAATATAAAAATGGAAATCGTTTGCAAAAACTGGGTCAAACTAACTAACTCCATGGTAGTAACTAACTCCCTACAAGAGCCTAGGCCTCTACAATCCTACTCCACTCTTACCTATCCTAGCGGGTCTCCTCCATCCTCTGATTCCCATCTCTCTAAATACTCTCTCCATTCCATCTGACCATCTTAATCCTGGACGTCCTCTATCTACTATCAAAAACAACAACAGAACAGCTCTTTCTCCTCCAGGCTTACCATCCAGTAATTTTTTGGGTATCCTATTCGCCGGCATCCGCTTTATATGTCCCAGCCACCTCAACTGATTCTTCCTAATGAAAGAAACCAGATCTGGTTCTTGGACCATTTCTTTCAGCAACACGCTCTTTCTTATTCTCCAGTTGCCGTTTTCGCAGACAGGTCCATATATTCTTATGAGTACTTTCCTTTCCCAAACTTATAACATTCATTCACTTTCTTTGGAAAGTACCCAAGTATCACGGCCATGAGATATAACTGGCCTAATGACTGTTTTATATAATATGACCTTAGCTCTGTTGGTCAGGCCTCTGAATTTTAATGGTTTTTGAAAAGCATAATAGCACCTGTTTCCAGCAGCTACTCTTGCCTTAATTTCTTCTTGGTGTTCATTGTTTGATGTGACCCAAATATTTAAACTGGCTTGCTATCCTGAAGGCGTGGCTTCCACATGTAATATCTTCCATTCTTTCTTGTGGTTTTCTTGTTGACTTCATATATACTGTCTTTTCATCGTTTACAAGGAGGCTTAACTTTTTCGAACTCCTCAAATGCTCCCAATAAAGATGCTCTTGATCTAGCCCATATCACCACGTCATCTGCATATGCTGTGGCATTCTATTATATATCGTGCCATGAGGACTTGTCAATAGCATGTACTGCATATTCTAAGGCTAGGTTGAAAAGAATTGAGGACAAGGGGTGTCCCTGCCTTAGGATGTCCTTAAATGCAAACTTTTCTGATAGTGCTCCTTGTATCTTCACTTGTAGGCAAGTGAAAGTAAAAAAAAATCAGCTTCACCGTTAATAAAAAGTGGTACTTCCGGTAAGCCGATTTTAATGAAAAAGTTGCTGTGACATCTAAGGCATATAACTATCTTAAATACCTACACTAGCGGATCCAGGATTTAATTTTGGAGGAGGCTTCAGCCCGAAAGCTGTTTTTTTTCATAAAAATAACGATAATTACTTTGGAAAAAAAGAAAGAAACTAACTACCTGTATGAAATGGTGTCTAAGTGATTCCTAAAGCCCTTTTAAATGTAATTACACAAACATTAATACTTTAAGAGATACTTTTTAATACTTTTTACGATAAAACATGGCTATATTTTACCATTTGGGGGGGGGGGGGAGGCGGCTTCTGCCCGAAAGCCCCCTCCTCGTAGATCCGCCCGTGAATACCTAATATTAGTTTCTTATGACTTTTCGTTTTTGAGCAAGTGTTCATATGCACACAAACTCACAGACCATTTTTCAGGACTTGGTTATTTAGACTCAGGGTACCTCAAAGCCCTTGAAAGCTCAGATTAAAAAACTTTCAGGATTGCAATACTTTTCCTGTCTATATATAGGTCAGTGAAAGTAAAAATATGAAATACATAAGAGTTGGAGGTAGTAATTATAAAACAGATTAAGGTTTTTTTTAAAACACCATTTTACTTTATTTTGTCTCACTGTTTGTGATGACTAATTTTGTAACAGTACTATAAACAAAAAAAAACTGTATAAAACATCATTATTTCTGATAGAGTATTCTATCAGCCTCTCTTTTTAAGCTGCCAAAAAAATCATTTAGTGGCTATTGGCTCCACCATACTCACTGTACTCAATCAGGCAAGGAGGGATAACTCTTTTAAGAAAGAATATTAAATCAGTAAATGTTTCACATCTGGCATAAAATGATCAAGATCAACAAAAGATTATGAACGATTTGTTTGCAAAATATAAGCAGAATTAAGGAAAGCGGCAGCAGGAAGAGATGATTGAGACAAATTAAGAAATAACAATACACAATTCTATCAATCTTCTCCATAAAACTTTTATTCCTTCTCCTCCTCACCCTTAGTCTGGGAACTCACATAAAAAATCATGAAATTAAAAATAAAAAATTTCATCAACAAAATATATATTCTATTGTTATATTCATTATATTGTGTGTATATGAATTTGAGGAAAACCTAAGATTCCAGAGAGCTATCCACCTGTTTTCCATTACTATGTTCCTGAGATCAGAATCACACTTATTGAATAACATGGAATATCACAGATAACAAACAAATCTGTTCAAATTACTTTATTTTGAAGTTATTACAACTATTTTTTAAATAACATTTTCATTATAAACACTTTTACAATAGGAATCTATTACACCAAATTATTCATAAAGCCAATAGTTTCAATAAAACGATATAACCACTGGAAATTTGGGTAGCCATAGGCTCCTCAAATTGCGCGTGGTCAGAAAGCTATCCTCTTAACAGTTTCCAATATAATCTGTAATCATTCTTATGTGAGTCGCATATGGTAAGTTTCATTTAATATATTCATCAAAAGGAAGTGTACCCAAGCAGTTTGAGGTATAGGTTTCAGCAACATACATTTGAGAATCCCACCTAAAAGGGTTTGGAACCCACCTATTTCAATTTAATTTTAATTTTACTTGTTACCAATTAATATTAAAAAAAATAATTAGTTTCAACTATATAGTCAATAACAACTGTTCAATATTATACCAATATTTCGTTTACAATAATATACCAATATTTCTTTTACAATAATAGAGAAATAAATAATCTAATATTAAAATTAAAACCTTTTATCTATATATTTCCTATAAATTTTCAATTTATTTATAATAAAAATATCACAGATATGCAATGCTTTCAAGGTGTAGAAGCCACATGCTTCTAAATTCCAATAAATCCTGAACAGTTTTTCACGCTGCTTGATTTATTGTTATTATTATGATAATCACCAAAGTCTAATAAGATCCATCTCTACATCAAGAACACATGGAGCAGTCCCATCTCACATGAAAAGTACCCTTAAGAGTTTGTTTATCTCCAGAACGAGCATGAGTCTGACATTCGTGATCTAAGGTAGTAACCAATAACAATCCCAACTAACTGGGATCTCAATTTCAATTGAGAACGCTAGTTACAAAATAGGAGACAAAGATCGTTTCAAATGAGGAGCTTATGGGCATGACAGCAAAACTTTTGCGCATTCACATTTTGAGGAGCCCATAGTAATAGAAAATCAAGTTAAATTAACCATCATTTGGTTTTGACATTTATTTTATAATAAAATAAAGTTTCAATACTTACCAGACCAGTTCTTTTAAGTTTTTGTTTTTAAATTAATATTTCCTGTTACTAGAAGAGCAGAACTAACCAATAATAAAAAGGTCTTAGTCAACTTCAGATCCATCAACTAAACATTTTAAATTTAATTTAAGTGAAGCACAGAGTATTAAAAATAAAATAACGTAAACAGTTACTTCCACAACACTCCGTTTGTTAAAATATATATAACACTCATCAAAAAGCAGTTACTCACTCACATTTGGGAACTTCTAAATGTTAAATAATTTACGTGAATATTTAGTAACTTAACCAGGATTGATATCACCATGCAACCTAACAATGTGCTTCTTAAAGTTTCCAGCATCTACTGTTCTATAAGGGCAATATAAACACTGGTATCGATACAGATTGGTATGTTTTGCTAATACATGACGCCTTAAGTCACTAGATCTAGCTGAGCTATAGGAACAGTGTGAGCACTGGTGGGGTTTTACTGTTGAATGTTTGTTTATGACATGAATTTGATAATGTTTGGTTTGATTACATTTGTAATCACAATATGGGCAATTGTAAGTTATTCCATTACTATGTCTTGCATTAATATGCAATTTTAAATGGCTTGATAATTTCGTTTGATAGTCACAAAATGGACACTGAAAGGGTGTTTCAATAAAATGTTTTAACATTATATGGTGTTTCAAATGAAGAGGATTAGAGGTAAGATAAACACATTGAGGGCATTGATAATGTGTAAAATCATTATGTTCTGTTAACATGTGATTTCTAAAACAATGAGCAGCATTAGCAATATGTCCACAATGTAGGCACTTTTGTGGTCTTAGACCACGGTGAATTGATAGTAAGTGCGATTTTATAAGAACAGAATCAGCTGCAGTAAAATCACAATATGGACAGTCAAATAAATTATGTTCTTTTTTTTCAAAAACAACTTTTGGATCACTAGAACATTTTATATGCAAATCAAACATCATTTTCGGTTCAACATAAAATTTGATGTGTACATCCTTAATATGAGTTTTCAGCCAACGTTTTTTTTTGCTGCTCACTCCACAGTGGTAGCAAATAAATCTTCCCTGGAAATCTAAAAAAAAATAAAATAAATTAATAACTGTAAAATAGAAAAAAATATTATAAAGTAATAACTAGAAAACTTAATTAATATAAGTGTCTTCATATCAAAGAGAGACATTGTCAATTTTAGAATAAGGACAAAAATTCTTTCAACTCAAATTGTTTCTGGTGAACTTATTTAAGAATTTTCAAGTTGAATCATGTAAATAAATCATTAGATTTGGTTTGAATTGAAGTTACATTACAAAATTTGGCTTTTTCCCAACTTTTAAAAAATAACAAGTGTCAGTGCTTGACATGAGGCCATTCATATAAATCATTAAAATAAAAAACTCAATAGTGAACAGTGAAATAAATTGATATAAGTTTATATGTAGACAGTTCACAGCAAAAAAATTTTTTATTCTTATTAAGATTGCAATAAACTATAATCTATTAAATATAAACTCCGCCATAGCCGGTTGAGAAAGGAGGACAGGGATCCCTATGTAGCCTAAGTAGGTGCATTCAACCACTGTTGATAGTAGGTGCATTCTCAGATCAGTAGGGACAGTTTTCCACCTATGTATGAATTATGAATGTGCAGCTAAAACTTGAACACAAAAACTATGCACTGTTCATTACGTATGGCCCCAATGATAATGCCAGTGTTAGAGAAAAAGAAAGTTTCTTCGATGATTTACAGAAGAGATTAGATGACAGTACGGGAACCCCCATCATTATGGGCGACCTTGATGGCAGAGTGGGAAAGGGTGGCATGGAGTGATAGGGTGACATGGAGAAAACTTCAGGAATGACATTGGAGAAAGAATTTCAAACATCTGTTTAGCAAACGGGCTAACAGTGGCGAACAGCTTTTTTTCCCTCACAAGAAAATACACCAAATCACAAGAGCAGAACCCTCCAGATACAAAAAATCTATCATAGATTACTTCTTGGTTCCAAAAGAGGAAATAAGGAGAATAAAAGAGGTCAGAGTCAAGAGAGGATACGAGTTAGGGACAGACCATATGCTGCTAACATTGGATATGCTTTTAGAAGACTCAAACACAAACAAAGTAAAGTCAAGACCTTATATCTATGGGATGCTGACAATGCAGAGGAAAGCAATAAAACAAATACTGCTGGGAACAGCAGAGGTGTGTGGAAAAACCAATGTTGGCCAAAGATTAAAAAGAACAGCCTGGTGAAACGAAGATGTAAAATGCGAAACCAAACAAAAGAAGGAATTATGGAAACAGTATCTTAAGAAGGAGCACTTCGTGCGCTCCTTGCAGAAGTGGACACATACAGAATCGACATAGCAGCTATCCAAGAGGTCCGATGGATAGGACAGGGAATTATGGAGAAGAAGTACCATACACTCTACTATAGCTGCCATGAAAAGCATCACATCTTCGGTACCGGATTTGTTGTGAGAGGCAGAGCTCGACAGTTGGTGATGCGATTTACTCCCATTAACCAAAGGTTATGCTACATTCGGCTTAGAGGAAAATTTTTTAATTTCTCTCTAATCAACTGCCATGCCCCAACAGAGGTGTCACCTGAGGAGGATAAGGAAGCATTTTATGAAGAACTTGGACGCGTGACAGAAAGCTGCCCCAAAAATGATGTTAAAATCATTCTTGGTGACTTTAACGCACAAGTTGGTAAGGAGGTGGCACTCATGCCGACCATAGGAACCCACAGCTTGCATGAGACCAGTAATGATAATGGGCTACGGATGGTGAACTTTGCTACATTGCACGGACTGGTTGTTGGAACAACTCTTTTTCCTCGAAAGAATATCCACAAAGCAACATGGATCTCTCCAAATGGGCAAACAGCATCACAGATAGACCATGTACTCATTAGTGCCCGTCACAAGTCCAACATGATAAATGCAAGATCTTATAGAGGTGCAAATATGGACACGGATCACTATTTGAGCATTGCCGAGGTCAGATCACGAATTTCGCTGATTAAAAACCACTACCAACGACCAAAGAAGAAGATTGATGTGGTTAAACTTAAGGACTCAGACCACCAATATTCGTATCAACAAGCTGTGGAGACGAAACTTAACGAAGAAGTAATTAATGACAGCTCTATGGTCGATGAACAGTGGAAGAGATGCAGCAACGCAATGAAACAGGCAGCAGAAGAAGCTCTTGGCTACGAGACTAAATCTAGAAGGCCCCCATGGTTTGATGCTGAGTGCCTTCAAGCAGTAAAAGTGAAAAATGAAGCCTACAGAAAGAAGGTTCAGCGTCCCACAAGGCTCTCCCAAGAAACATATAGAAGAAAAAGACGCGAAGAGAAGAGATTATTCCGCGGAAAGAGAAGAGCTTGGGAAAATAAGAACATGGAGGACACAGAGGCATTGCGAGGCCAAAATGAAAGTCGCCTGTTCTTTCAGAGAATAAACGAGGGTAGGGCAGCTTTTAGGCCCAGAGTGACGGCATGCAAAGACACAAATGGAACTCTTTTAAGCCACAAAGATGACGTACTAAGGAGATGGGTACAACATTTCAAAGGCGCATTAAACAGAGGAACGGTGCCTGGAGAAGTAGGTGTAATGAAGGAAGACTCCCTGAATTCTATTGAACCCCCGGATGAGGAGGAAATGGAAAACGCCCTAAGGAAATTGAAAAATGGAAAGGCGCCAGGCCCGGACGGAATCCAGTCAGAGCTGTTGAAATGTGGAGGTGAAGAACTCAAGAAAGCTCTGCATGATTTAATGCTGACCATCTGGGAGAAGGAAGCTATGCCTACGGAATGGGCAACAGCCATTATCTGCCCAATACATAAGAAAGGAGATCAAACAGAATGCGCTAACTATCGAGGAATCTCACTCCTTTCGTGTGCTTATAAGCTGCTCTCTAACATTCTTTTTGAGAGGATCCTCCCGTATTCTGAAAAGGAACTGGGGAAATATCAGGCTGGATTTCGAAGAGGACGCTCAACGACTGATCAACTGTTCTCTCTGAGGATGATCCTAGAAAAGACTATGGAGCGTAAGGTAGTCACCCACCATTTATTCCTGGACTTTAAAGCAGCATACGACAGCGTTGATAGAACGCAACTATACTGTGCCTTGGAGGAGCTAAGCATCCCTCAGAAGCTCGTACGCCTAATCAAGATGACCATGGACAGCTCGAGATGCAGAATACGCGACGGTTCTGACGACTCCGAAGAGTTTAAAGTGAGCAGTGGGCTTAGGCAAGGGGAAGCCCACGCCTGTCTATTGTTCAATTTGGCAGAGGAGAAAGCTGTAAGAGACTCCGGTATTCAGACCAAAGATATAATCTTCAATCGCCTGACACAGCTTCTTGGTTTTGCTGATGATATTGACATAGTAGGTAGGTCTGAACGGGCTCTCAGAGAAGCGTTTATAAGCCTTGAAGCAGCTGCAAGACCACTTGGTCTAGAAGTCAACGAGAGGAAAACTAAGTATATGAGAGTTGGCGGTGAGGTTGATCTGAACTCTCCATTTGAGGTAGGTTCTTTTAAGTTTGAGAGAGTGAAAAGTTTCATATACCTTGGGTCTGAAATCAATAGCAAGAATGACATGGCTCAAGAAATACAAAGAAGGATCACGGCTGCCAATAGATGTGTCTTTGGACTTGGCCGACACTTAAGAAGTAGGTACCTCTCAAAGAAGACCAAGCTGATCATATACAAGACCCTTGTTCGGCCTGTTTTGACATATGGCTCAGAGGCTTGGACGATGACCAAAAGGGATGAGATGAAGCTGAGTGTCTTTGAGCGAGGAGTCCTCAGAAGGATTTATGGTCCAGTAAAGGAGGGTGATGTCTGGAGGAAAAGAAAAAATAGGGAGCTCAGTTCTCTCTATGCAGACATCGACGTAGTCACGTATATTAAACTGGCCAGACTAAGGTGGGCAGGGCATGTGGCCAGAATGAGCACCCTTGAAATACCAAAAAAAATAATGATGGAGGAGCTGCACCTCGTAAGACGGGTAGGAAGGCCGAGGACGAGATGGTTGGACAACGTGGCCTATGATGCGAGAACCCTGCTTGGTGTGCGGAATTGGAGAGCTGCAGCAGAAGATAGAGCCAACTGGCGGAGGCTCTTGGAGGAGGCCCAGTCTCGGTGACGGGATGTTGTGCCATGCATGATGATGATCATGATGATGATGTATCTTAAGAAAAAAAACATGAGACTATGCAAGATACAAAGAGTAGCGGAAAAGAGTAAAAGAAAAAGTACGAAGAGAAAAACTTGGGAAGATTTCGGAAATAAGTTAGAGGAAGATGCAAAAGGAAATGAGAAGTTCTTCTATAGATCCCTAAGAAATATACAGAACGAAAAGGAGCCCATTATAAAACACATAGAAGATGAGGAAGGTATTATTGTAACAAATACTAATAAAATAGTGAATAGATGGGTGGAATACTATGAGAAGGTGCTGAATAAATAATAAAGAAAAGCAGTGGGGTGACAGTATTTCGATTTAAGGGGGAGGAAGTATTTGGGAGCCCATCTATAACCTCAAAACATAAAAGGCAAATCCAGTAAGTAAGTATGCCCATTATATAAATTTAACTACAGAAGGACAGATGCAGAACCAAATTTTTTACCTGATACCCAAAATGTAAACAAGCACAAGAATCTTTTTAACCTCCCAGAAGATAAAGCTCCTCTCCTAACCTCGGATGTCAGTGATATATGTGTAATTATATTATTGCTCAATTGTATAAAGTTTAATATTTTCCTTCAGGGTCAAATTTGATGTAAGTAATGGTGCATTAAGTATCATTATGAATTTTTCTCTCTAATCAGTTTTTAAATCCAAAATTGTTATAATACTCATGGGTTCTTAATAAATAATTTGAGGTTACTTATAGATGAAAATTTTACTCATATATAAAATAGATTTTTTTTTGTACTCCCCTTCCTTGACGTTTAGACTTTACTGGGTTATTCTAAGGCCAGGGGAGAGGATAGGTTATTAATGGCAGAGTTAAAAGTCGCCTTGTCACCGGGACATGTACTCGTCATTATTTTATAATCAGTTGATCAGGTTGCTGAGCAACACATGTTTTGTACATTAGCCCGCTCAGCCAATCAGCCCACATATAAACGAGGTAAAACTTAAGCAATTATAGCACTATAATTTCAAATTTACCAGGATCAGATTCAGTATCTTCAGGTAACCATTCAATTCCAGGTTCCTCTTTAATCCAAACTTGGCACATTTCAACATCTAAATAGACAATAATAAAAAAAAAAAATGAATTGAAATATAATACAAAGGTATATTAAATAGTATTTACTATTAAATCAATCAAAGAGTAATAAGATAACAAATAAGACAACACAACTTTTTATAATATCAATAAATACTAACTTGAAATACAATATTCATCTTCTTTATCCTCTTTATCAGAAGAGACTAAAATGTGAAAAAAGAAAAAATTAATAGTAACAGAAAATAAGTAATCATTTTATTTTTAGTATTTTATCAAAAGTTAAAATATAAACTTCTCATAAGTAAAGAATTAATATATATATATATATATATATATATATATATATATATATATATATATATATATATATTTCAAAACTTAAATTTTACCTGGTCAAATAGGCATTACAATAAATTTAATTACAATAAAGAGTCTTCCAATAAATATCGACTAGTAATGGTGCAGACATCTTTGACTATAGACCTAATATTTGTAAATATAAATTAGTGGATTATATATACTGATTGTCTATATGACAATAGTCTCCCATCCTTATTACTGATGAAGACCTACAACTTAAGTTAAAAAGTGTGATCAATGAATATAAATTCCACTTATAAGGGTGTGACAATGCTCCCCAAGCCCAACTTCCATAGGTGAACTAATGGTAAATTCACTATTAACCAGTATTAATTTTATTTTGAAAATGGGACTACACATTTACAACATTAAAAAAAATAAAACAGTAACATGAACGTATAATATTCAGTCCATGCAGATAAAAGATTACTCATGTTAACAATTTTATAATGTGCAAATGAATTAAGGGTACTTGTGAGCGACGCGGGCTCTAAGGACTGCTATCTACAGTTATCTTGTTATTTATATTTCATATATATATATATATATATATTATATATATATATATATATATATATATATATATAAATAAGAAACAGGCAAAAAAGAGGCAACACCAAATATATTTATATTTCTTACTATACGAGAGTCTAATTTCATATGAAGATAGGGATTATTTAATAATAAGTAGTTTTTAATAATAAGAAATATAAATAACAACAACAACACTTTAAATAACAAAATTACTGCAGATAGCAGTCCATAGAGCTAGCATCGCTCACAAGTACCGAATCAAGTTTTTGAAAGGAAAATAACAGAATATTCCCTGTAAAGGGAAACAAACAGAATCCCCATCTAAATAATCTACAGCTTTTGTTGCTCAATAATCTTCTCCTATTTTGATTATGGTGGCACAGTACTCGGATGAGTGTTAAGTTTGGAATGATCTTGAAAATACAGACTATCGTTATATAAGACTCATAACTGGAGTCTAGAGGACAATTCCAATATTTTGTCATTGTATGTCATTCAAATGGCTATAAATAGTTTTTCAACAGTATTATTACATTATAGGTCTCCAAACATATTGGTCTGCAAGCCATATTGAGACTTCACCAAGGCCCACGGGCCACATTGAGATTTCCACCTCAGTCCTGCAGGCCATGGTTGTGATGAAAAAAAAAAATCTTGTTCTATAAATGACACTTCAGTTGTGAAATGAACTTTCTAAGAAAAAAAAAAACATGCAATAAATGTTTTAGTAACATCTTATGTGAGTAATTTGTTAAATTTTATATTTTTTATTTAAATAGTTTTTAAAATTGTATCATGCAATCAAAGAAGCCTTTGCAGGCCATATCCGGCCAGCGGACCGTAGTTTGAAGACCCCTGTATTACATGCAATAATGCCATTATAATAATAATACCATGGTATTTATCTGTTTCAATCCCTATTAATTGCCATAACATTAAGACTAATGTAGAGAGCGGACCTACAACCAAGTGTTACTGTAATTTACTATGCTTAACTTCACATACATACATAAACACAACCATTACCATTATCGGCCTATAAGCTATACACAATATATAAACTAGAGAATGCAATAATATTCTTCGAAAAAAAAAAAAATCAAATAAACAATAGTTTTGTCAACATTAGCTAAAATTTATTATAAAGAAAAAAACATTGGATAGATAGAAATCATACCTAAGTTGTGATCTTGATCATTTGAAAATTCTACCTTAAGTTCTAAATCCGGTTCCGATTTTGTAGGAACATATTGACATATTAAAGCTGTAAACACAGAAATATATATATAATTTAAAATAAAACAATGTAGGAGTATATGGTAGGTAAATATGGTCTTACGGGACTTTGAATATGGTCTTGTGAGTGAACTTTGGACCGAAATGTCAGCAAATATAAAAATAAATATCATTTGTTTGTTTTTAATTTGATTATTTATGACTGAACACCCCAACTAACTTCTCTTCATTTATTTCCTACAGTCAACCATCATACCATTATTATAAAACAATATATTGTGATGTTAATTCCAAAATTTTCTAAATAATTTTTTTTCTAAAGTAAAATTTTGTGTGAAGAATGATGCATTTATTATTAGTTGATAGCTTTAAGAACCAAAAAAGTGTCAACAACTAACATGGCCGAAATAGTAATGAAAGTAAACTAGTAACCAAACAAGTGCTCATCATAGAAAGCTTGCAAAACGTTTTTTTTTTTCTTAAAACCATTAACTGAAATGAAATGCATTAAATATCCAAGATTCACTTGCAACTTCAATTTGGAAAAAAATGTAATTAGGTCAAATATGTTATTTTATATCATAGTTTATTGCTTTTGTTATAGTTTATTGCAATAAGCTATTAATAATCTTAAATTACTAATAATCAATGAATTTTCCATTTGTGAAATCAGAAAATCGTGAGCTTGCTGTAACTACATATATTTGATTTACAAAAGGTATTGCGCCATTTTAGTCCACATACTTTGTATTTTATTAATAAGGTCAAAATTCCTTATATACGATGAAAAGTATATCAATTGCGTATGATGTACTTTAGTAGTAAAAACATCAAATTCAGAGGAAGTAGTACTGACACTGGGTTATATGGAATCAACAATTTTTTTTTCCGTGAAATTTAAGGTAACTTTTCATTACATTAAACACCACTACATACATCTGCCCTCCTTAAAATAACTCATGACCTCCAAAACTCCATTGAACACCAAAATCTTACTATGCTCATCCTTCTATATTTCTCCAAAGCGTTTGATACAGTTGACCATAAAATCCTTCTTACCGAATTGCAAAATCTTCCTCTATCCAACAGTATCCTGCGTTGGTTCAAATCCTTCCTTTCCAATCGGTCCCAGTATGTAGTCATCCCAGATCAACCTCCTTCAAAAACACTTCCCCTCTCCCTCTCCTGTGGTGTCCCTCAGGGTTCCTCCTTATCTCCTACTCTGATTGCTATTTGCATTAATGACCTTCTCCTCTTCTCCTAATCCGTCACTCCCAATACCACATCTATGCTGATGATTTCCAAATATACTTGTCCTTCACCCCTTCTCACCTATTAGCCGCCACAAAAAAGCTTCAAGAGGATTTAAATAGAATATACCACTAGGCAGGATCTAACAAGCTGAAGTTGAATACGGAAAAGACTAAAGCAATTCTAATAGGCTCCAATCACCTCTTCAAAACTGTCCCTTACATTCCAATCCTGTTCTTACATGATAATCCCATCAAATTTTTATCCCACCATCAAAAACCTTGGAATAATCTTTGATCAAACCCTTTCTTGGAAAAACCATGTATCCAATATCTCCCGATGTACCTTTTCCACCCTAACACACTTAAATAGCCTTCGACACGAAACCTTTTTCCTTTTGAAATCCGTAGACCCCTGGTCACCTCCTTAATATTTTCCCACTTCGACTATTGCTGCACGGTATATGGAGGCGTCTCTGGGGATCTCGAGGCGAAACTAAAACGTTTGATAAATTGCTGTGTACGATTCATCTTCGGGATCCCAAGGGACACCCCTGTTTCCTATTTATATGAAGAGTTGAAATGGCTTATCCTTCCTACCGCCATAAGTATTTCATGCCATCCTTTATCTTCCAAGTCATTCACTCCCGCCGTCCTTCATACATCTCCGAGCTTCTTCAATTTAAATCCTCTGTCCACACCCGCAGTACCCATTCCCGGTCTTCAGATTTATATATAATGGAGCACAGAACCGCTGCTTTCGATAAATCTTTTATTATTCTATCCTCATCCCTATGGAACTCCATCCCTCCCGACATCCGTCGCTCCAATACTCTTCCTCCTGCTTTTAAAATTGTAAATAGAAACTTCAGTAAATATGTATATATATTGTTAGTTTATTCCCAATTATTTTCATTTCATTGTTCTTTCATTTATTTTATTTTTTCTTCTTAATGGATTTAATCTAGAATATAACTTTTGTTTTTCTTTTTTTTCCCCTATTATATCTATTAGTTAACTTTGTAAATACATGTATATATATCTGAGGCTCAAAAGCCCTCATTTATGTCCTTGTTAATTATTATTATTATTACATAACTTGATGACGTACTCTTACCTAAAATTAGAACATTGAGTACTTTTTTAATGAAACTATTACTGGCATTTAAAAGGGTTTGGGTAATTTGTATTCACCTAATCGGAATAGGAGAGAATCACTAAATAGAACAGAAACTTACATACTTTTAGGTTTAAAATCATCTAAAGTGTATAGATCTACTTTATGCAATAAATCGACAATTTATGTTTTTCATGTAAAAACACATGTATCTGATATTTATAGTTATATCAAACAAACTTGTTAACAGTCTGTCATTAAATTCAACAACTTGATCAGCTTTAATTCTAATCTTGATTCTATATCACACATTCCATCAAGACAACTTGCAAATGGTCCACTACAATAACTTTATTACTGCTATTTATAGTGAATAGGAGATAGCTCAATAACAGCAGAATCTGAACAGCTAAATAAGAAAGTTACTAAAACTGAAAATTAAAGAACCCTCTAAACACATAAAAGAAGCAGCTCCACTCATATTGTTATACATGATTGAATAATACACAGAGCTATAAATTCTTAATCAGTACTAATAGCTGCACATAAAAAAAAACTGTTATAGACATTAAATAATTTTGTAAAGGTAAGTGAATATGCTAAAAGTGAATTACCTTTACTCTCCATTATTAATAATAAAACCAATTCGACTGCATTTAAAATATCCTTGATTACCAGCAGAAAATTAATAGAATGAAACAAAAAATACTTGGCTCAAAAAACACTCAAACATAAGTAACACCCTGAAAGGTTTCAGTTCAAATGTATAATCAATAATGGGTAAGTTTCTTAACTAAGCGCTGAGTTCATCGATTGCATCGGAATTCTGACAGTTTCGAAACTCATCGATAGAAACCATCGATTGAAACACCAATGGCTCAGTGGTTTCATCAGGTTTTGTGGTTGACGAATCTACTGGATATAAATATTATAACCTCGGTGCAGTTGTTTCTAAATTCACTTGACATATTTATATTCAGTTTACTTTCTAACTATATTTAAATTTAAAAATCCAGGAGGTAACTATCTCTCAATCTTTTATTTTTTTTATTTATTTTTTTTTTTTATGTGTTTCGTTACCTTAAAGCAGGACCATTGGGTGAGTTTTATGTCTTCGGGGGGAAATTTTACTGGGAACTCCTCATTCACAATTTTCTTGTTTGTTAGTGAAAAAGCCAATATATACCGAATCTCAATGTGATTTTTCTTTTTTTTTAACAACTGGAACTATAATTAAAAATAAATATTCATACATAGAGACTTGTCTATCAGTATCAAGGAGCTCGAAAAACGTAGGGGCGAATTTCTCCGGACCCTGAGGCTCAAGGGATGGGATCCCCTAGGTTGATTTTTTTTTAACCCATAAATATTTGTGGGATTTTACAAAAAGCTATGATGAATATATAAAAGAGAATTTTTTTAATTTTACGACAAATATACTTCGGAAATGTCTGGTAAGTAAAGTAACATAAACTGAGCATTCTGCTTCAGGTTTGGCCTGCATCATGTTCTGTTGCGTTGGCTCATACCCACAGAGAATCGAGTACATTCTACATACGTTCAATCCATACTTCATGGATCGTACATACGTCACAAAGTAATCCTCCGCATGCCCTAAGGCAGTAATTAGGAAAATAACATTTTCCAAACTTCATTGAACAATGGATTCAGTTAATTCTCAGTGTATTAATTTTCAGTTTGATTTAATGAAGTCGAAAAAATGAACTCAGAATACACCCTTGATATTCAACTTTGTTGTAGTGATTAATGAATAGAGAAGTTTAAAAACTATTGTCTTATGAGACCTTCCCGCCCCAGTGAGACAAAGTGCTCATTTTAAATTTCTTCCTGAACTAGTTTTCTTGCTACGCCACTGATTAATTTAAGGTCTAGCAGAGGTGAAAAAGGAATGAATCAGAAAGTAGAATATGGATATAAATGTCGCTGTTTGAAACTGTCTCTCAAGATGTACTCTATCGCTAAAGTTAACATTATTATCCGAAAAACAAAATCGGGTTACATTTCCTCTTAAGCGTTCAGATTGACCTCTCCTGACAATTTACAACAACCTTTGACCAATCCATACAGAAAAAATATTTGATGATCACTATATCTCCAATTAATTTTATTGCAAGTAAATTTTTATTCATTTTAACATTTTGAAGTTGGGTGAGAAAGGGAAGGGGAGGTTGGTAGGAGGGTAGGAGTTTACTGCTCACAAACGAACGACTGAAATTAAAATACATAATTTATTCGACAAACATTTACATCAAGTGCATATAAAAATTGTAAATGAAGTGAATGAATTTTCATAATTTGAAAATGTTAAGCTTATTTTCATGTTTATATTATCAATAACCTTTCTTATAAGTGAAGTAAACATTTATTTTAAATTATGAGAGATAGGAACCTAATGTTGATTTAGGCGAATTGACAAAATAATTGAGCCATAATAACGTGAGCCATTTATTGCGTTCGACCTTCTTCCTAGTAAACCAGCGGGGAACAAAAAAAAAAGGGTTTATCACACTTTTCAAAACGCTCCTCAATTAAGTTGAAGTCTAAGCCTTAATTAACGGTTGATTTACTCGTTAACATCGTGTATTTGAATTAAGTTATTTGTAGCGTTGAGACCTGAAATTTCCATTATTGTAAAGCCGAGATCGTCCGTGAGTACTTAGTGTTTTATATGGGGTGAGAGTTCCGATGAGGGTGAAATGGTGTTGGTGAAAGAAAATGGAGTTCATACCTCGGAGAATGATGCGGTAGCACTCGACGCCAAATACTATTTGTTTTGCCAAATCATTTCACGCTGAAGAAGATACTGGCACGCAAATCATCACTGCAGCTATCAGAACGGCCTCTGATTTCCAGGTCGTGATTATAGTAGGAGATGACGTAGACTGGTCGGTCATCCTCACCGGTCTCAGGGATCACAGACTATGTACCATACTCTTTCAGAAGTGTGGAAGAGAGAAAAAGTCAGCAATATCTGTAGATAATCAGCTCATCAATTTCACTCACGCCTTCAATGGATGTGATTCGATCACGTGCTTCTTATCCCTCAAATCTGCTGAACATGATTTCTAGCAGTTTCAAGAAGCGATGTGGAAATGCTTACAGCTACAGAAAAGCAGGTTTGAAGTGTTCATTATGTGCAAAACCTGTAATGGACAGTCCTATGAAAATTATGGTAGACATCAATGGCAACACTTATGATTTGGCCGAACTCAATGACGAGGACGATGGTGTGGATACGGCGTCGACTATTCTGAGACGTTCTTCAAGAAGTTGAAGAACAATATTACATATAGCTTCATTCCTACGAGTATTGTTAAAAGTTACTATTATTAATATTAATACTAATCCCTGCTTTGTAGATACCACCAAGATAGCCGAGCAGAATGGAGCATGGGTTCCAGAGTGTCCGGTTCTAAACTTTGTGGGTTCGCTTCCCCTCCGGGTCGGTTAATTTTCATTTCTCGGCAGCCCCGAGAAATGAATCTGACATTCTCACAACGTTAAGTACGCAGCGGCAGTCTCAATGTCGTCGTCAGGGATTGGTATAAAGGACCATGTCGCCCACATGTTGGACTAGTTCCCCATACCATTACTAATACCAGTACCAACATGTGTATTGCATTTGTGTTAAGAATCCTTGACAAGGTTTTACCTTGGGATGAAGTAAATATTTAGATTCCATTTTTGGAAGTCCAGGAAAATAAATATGACACTGAAGGAGGCGGATTGGCAAATTTGTTTGGCCCTGAACCTTCGAATTGGAGGGAACACCTTAATTCACATTTCGTTTTCTCCATTTAATCTTTTTGAATATACTTGATGCAAATAATTGTTAAATAAATTTTCCTTTTAATTTCAATCGTCTGATTGTAAACAGTGACATAGCCCTTCCCCACCAAACCTTCCTTCTCTACCTCATCCCCCCTCTTCAAAATGTTAAAATGAATAAAAATTTACATCATTGACTCATATCAGATAAGTTATTGAAGATACAAAGACAATTGTATATGATCAAACATGAAAAATAGCTTAAAATTATCAAGTTCGAAAAATTTTCAAAACTTTGAAAACCTGTATCTCAAAAATTATTGAATGTACCTAGTCTGTTTTACTCTTTCATTGTTGCATATTTAGTCTAGTTTAAAAATATGCCGAATGTTTTTTGTCAAAAACGATACTATTCATGGTCAAAATGGAGAAAAATAAATATAGCAGTTTTGGGTATATTCGAAAGCGATATGGATTTTGCATCTCAATCACATGCCATACAAGAAAAAAAGAAGAAACCTTCTACCCCCACTTGGTACAACTTACGATGTACAATGTTACTGGACTAGAACAGAAAATCACAATAACAACATTAAAAATCTGGTGCGCGCATCACACTACTTTCATTTACCGCTCTACATAGAAAAGCAAATCTTGTCTGGCAAGAAGTTTTTGAAGCACATTTTTAATTCAGCTAAAATTAAACAACATATTTTTTAATTTCGGTCACATTTATCAATACAAAAACTCATTAAGAACTTCGCAATAACATAAGCACTATTCATAATATCGATTGTAGGCAATGAAAACCTTAGATGTAACTGCATCAGTTTAATTTAGTCACATAACTGCAGTCCCTGAACTCTATAGACAATGAGAGATTTGAAAGTACATTATAAAATTATTTAAAATTTGAAAGGATTTATGATATTTTGGTTTACTGTAATATGGAAAAGTGCCCGCTAAGAGAAGTTTCAATGCATATTATGATAGGTGATTCGGCTGATATCATGCCCAACAGCCAGGTTTTCCCCTTAATTAATTATTTAGTTAAGAGTACCCAATTAAAGAGGCGCTAAATATATAAAAATAAAAACAGAAATCAAACTTTATTTTAAAAAATCGAAATCAAAATTTAAATTAAAGCAATTCTGCTAATTGTCACTACCATGCCAAGTGCGGATGAAGATTTGAAGAACAAAAAAAAAAATATATATATAAGCAATTTGAGTGCTACCAGCGGGTAGTTTCTCAACCTTTCTCTGTACCTCTAATAATTGATACAAAATGACGTCCATAGTTTGAACCATGATATATTTAATAAATTAAAATTCTGTCTCTCTTCATAAAATATTGGTGGGGGCAGAAAGTTCCTTACCACTTTATTTTAGTGGAAAACAACAAAAGCATCAGGACACCTTGTATTACATCATGTGGATAGTAATTAATCTGTATATATTTTTTTAGAGCTCTTCTATTTACGAAAATTTACTCCTTGATAAATAAGACATGCATAATACAAATGCAATCTTAAAACCAGCACAAAAGTGCTCATTTAAATTGGTGCTCATTTTGTTTAACAGCGGTACAAAATAAAAGAGCAAAAAATTTAATGTTCAGAATAACATCTTTATTCACAAAACTGGGCAATAAAAGATTTTATTTAAAGCTACTTCGATAGAAAATGTAATCACAATTAAATTTAAAAAATATTTTTTCCAAATTAAATATCTAAGAAATATAAATAATGTTAACGATTATGCTCTTGCTTCATATTTCAGAACACTCTCAGTAATCTGACAAATATAATATTGGATGGCAAAAATCGTTACACATAATATTTAAAAAGCAAATATTAATGTTGTAGCTATTAATAATTCATATAAATTACTTACATATACAATATACAAGGTATCTCAGTTCTTAGTGGTCAAACTGTGGGAGGTGATTCTAAACAAAATTTCCAAAAAAAAAAATCATTTTATGTTACTGCCGATTTC